ATCCCCCCCCCCCCCCCCCCGACAGTGAAATTTAAAAATTCGCAAGCATTTTCGGTGACTTCACGTTATATTTTTGTTTAAGGTTTGTATTTCTTCATAAAACATTGTGCAAATTCTAAAGCAGTAAAGTCGTCTGGTTTGTTAATCTGAATTAAGAAGTTAAGTCCAAGATTCATTTGTGTTGGTTTGATGTTAAAGAGTGGGAATCCCCACAAATGGTTAGAATGTACCTGAGCAAGCAACCAGTGAACATTAAATGATTGAAACTGGCTATTGTCGTTAGCTTTGGATTTCCTAATAGCGGTTTACACGTAAATATTTTGACCACGATTCTTGGAAAGTAGTATTAACGCGCTATCCAACCTAAAAGAATACAGCGGTGACCGCATTCCGAGCCTATTTGTAATTTTCATTCATTTGCGAGCTTCCCGTTCAATTTTACTTCAAATTAATCTATGTTCTCTGCTTCAAATTGATTTAATATCAGGAAACAATATTATGTATGTATGTATGCTAATATAGATTTTAGGTCCTAGGCCCTCTCAGAATGTACCGGTTCAGAGAATTCTACCGTTCATTGGGGACGGGTCCTAAATCTCATGAGAGACAAAGTAAGAAACCTGGGATCGAGATCAAGGCCGCCTTCTGTGGTCAGGTTAATAATATTTATACTCTCCCAGGAAAACAACATGGGTGATTCACCGGTTACCTTAGCAACGCGGATCTGAGGTATATGTTTTGACGTCATCACGTGTCACGTCTATCGTAACACGTCCGTCTCTTCATTCCACACTCGCGGAACTAAGCAGTGTCATTTTACTGTCACGATGACAAGGGTCATTTTTTATTTTGGTACATTGGGAATTCCATAGCAATGTTGACATCACGAAAAATATAGGATATTTTTATTCCTACTTCAGCAGAACACGAAGATTTTATTTTTAACTATTATCATTATTTTGTGGTTTTTATTATCCTCTTAGACAAAACGCGGCCAGGTGTTAAACTCTTCAAAAGAGAACGCCACCGGTATTTTCGTTCATTACAAATGCACATGTTAAACTCCTCTCCACTACTATTCTTGGTCATGATTAACATCTTTATTGCACCACATTTAGTGCGCACTTTGCTTAAATTCATATCAAAGATGTATACAGCGAAGTACACATTAAGGAAGGGACATAAAAGTCACATAGATAACTTGCGCAATGGCTGGCGGAGCCGGATTTAGTCCCGATATAGCATCAATGTCATGGCAAACTGAATCACCTTGCCTACGTCATTGCCTATTTCCGCCTGCCATTCGGTTATTAATTGTTTACCTGCGACCATACTTTGAAATATCGAGTGACTATTGTGGAATCTAGGGCGAGGCATAATATTTCTGGCTGTCATAAACGCGTGGACGTCGACATCTTTAGACACGGTGAAAATATATCTGAATTGAAATCAAAGTAAGTGACATTTTCGTTCTATGCAATGTATATGCTGTACACTAGCTGTACAGTAGACGTATATGTGATCGATCAACGTACAGGTGGTTTCCAGCGAGAAATCTACAGTAGAAAGAATAGCAATGATTAGTGACGGCAAAATCGAAGTCATGGCTTAAATCGAAGGATATCGCCTTCTGGTGAACAAATAACGACTGGTCGAGAACAATCTGCTGTCATTATAAAATGAACCATAAACTACATAGATTTGACCAGGAGCCGTGCGTTGTTTTTGTAACGTAGTATTTGTAAATTATTGACCAAGGGACGAAATCTGCTGACTTCAAGAGCAGAGGCGCGTTAATCATGAATATTGCATTGAGCAATATCAAACTCTTGCAAGGGAGATAGTTAGAGGCTACGAATACATATAGATACAGGGATTAATATATGATTAAAATATGCGCACCTTATTTAGCGCTTTCTACATTGCAATACCCAATATCAGGAGGGTTTGCCGATCACCGGGAGCTTTACGGTTAGGAGGGGGGAGGTTTCAGGGGTATTTTAAAGAGGCCAGGTACCTCTCCGTCATCCTCTTCCACCTTTCTTCCCCCCCCCTCACACACACGCACACACACACACACACACACACACACACACACACACACACATCCATCCACGGGTTTGGGGAGTGACTCCGTGCTAGCCGTTCAACTAGTGTGCAAAATATTGCTCCCGTTGATCGCGTTCATTCTTACATCAAAAATTTATACAGAATTAATCACTATCACTATAAAGTCTATGGACCATCAGATGTTCAGTAGCCTATACATATTTTAGTGAATTTTAAAAGATTACCGCAGTTATACCTAAAAATTACTGAAGACTTAACAATTTTGGTTTACTGAATCGTAGTGATCATTTTATCTAAGATATAAGTCTGATCACTGTCAAACTTTACAGTTTGATGTTTTTTTCTAAAAATACCGGTTTTCACATCTTTATTAAAGTCATCTGGGGAACAATATTGCGTGGGTGAAATTTGTAGGTTATTCCATTCAATGTCGATATGTTATATCATGTTAGTTAAGCTTCCCCGCCTTTGTAGGTTTACAGTAAAAATTCCCCTCTCTACAAAAGATTGGAATGTGTCATGGCCTCCCATTCTTCCACCTGACCCGATCATTGTAGTGGTTGTCAGCGTTTCTTGTCGAGATGATTGTTGCTAGGCGGTTCAAATTTCAATATTTGATATAAAGAGGACTTCTTAGGTGTACGACGCTCGTGAATCTGGAGTTAAGGTTGACGAGGACGGTTACGGTTTAATATAGAGGACACGGAGATGGAGATAAATCTGGTTGAGCATGTTTTCTGTAGATAAGAGGGGAAGACGGGATAGAAGGGGTACACACAGCGCTTAGGGCCAAGGCAAGTGGCTTAATGTCATCCCCCGATTCTCTCTTTCTGGACCCGCTCCTGTATTTAACAGTCTTTTATATACCACGAGAAACGCGGTTTGTAGGCAGGGGTGGGGTGGGGATTAGGTTCGTGCAGGATATATTGCGATTTCCTTTTTTCACTAATTTTTCAATCCAGTTTTCAATAAAATCAGTTAAGTGTTAATTATGTACACATTTTAAAAGCGTGATTTTTTTTAAAGATAAAGTAAATAAATAATAAAGTAAGGATAGCAGAGCTAGGTTTCGATCCTAGGACCTCGGGGTTATGGGCCCCGCACGCTTCCACTGCGCCACTCTGCTGTTAGAATAGGACTAATTTTCACACTATATAATTTTGCAAATTCATTGACCGATTCCATAAAGATTATGGTTGATAAATCCCGATTTATTTCATTTCCTGAGCTGTCCTCTGGTTAAATATTTATTCAGTCGCTGCTTGGAATGGCTGTTATTTATTGCATACTGTTGAACAAATTACTAAAAGAAAACATGTACAACTGGGGTCTCGGGGCATGATCTTATTGATTTTTGCCAATACATGTAGCTCTTGAGTTTTACCTGAAAACAACGGATTTGGCTTTGACAACGTGACATTTGAATATGTCTGTCTGTTCTGTTTATGGTTGGGGCAGGGGGTGTAAGAATCTATGATTTTGGGTGGGGGTGTGCCTCAGAGTCACCATACATATAACCCTGTTACATGTACATGCATAACGATCGTGAAGGTAATATATTTCCTCCATCTCGTCACACTGTGTCCAATGTCCATATTATTTAACAGGCCCGTAGCCAGGGGGGGTTCGGGGGGTTCGAAAGAACCGCCCCTTTTGCTGGGAAAAGGTCCACTCTGGGTAAAATTTGGTCTAGGTACATAAAGTTTTTATGGGAAAAGGTCCACTTTTTCAGAAAAAGAACCCCCCTTTTGAAATTGCTGGCTACGGGCCTTCCATAATATTATAATATTCCACCGTGCTGCAAAACACCCCTATTATATTACCGGCCTTCAGCAACAGTTTGCTGTAACTTATAATAATACCAATTGTAATGTTTATAAATAGAGTTACTAAGTACAAGTCATAGAATGAATATACCATGTAATTTCCTTTTGTTTGTATTATACGTAATAAACACAACAATTAGAATTAGGATTTATGCATGCTTCTAACATAATGGTAAGTTAAAGAAATCGTATGGAGAGAAGAAGGGGCAAGTACATTGCTTTTCTTTGTGCAAGTTTCCAGTGCATGCAGGGGGCTATGTCTTCTAGATTGCACTCTATCTAATCGACTAGAGGATTTGTCGAGACATTTGGGTCGCCAAATACGTCTATCATATAAGTTCAGATGACTCAAAGGAAAACAATGTCCAACACTTATATTTTAATATATATTTATGAATGTAATCTCGCCCTATTGTTTTGTAATCATATTTGACCTCTCGCTCTCTCTCTGATATCGATCGTAACAATTCTTGCACAAATCTAGAAAGTTTGTACAAATTCAGAGTACTGTTTAATTTTCGATCCCTTGAAACAATTCGCCCTTTCAGAAGAACATTTAATGTACATTTAATTAACGGTTCTCAGTCACGCTGGTACCCTAACAGCTGTTGAGCTGATACCACCTACACGCTTTATAATCGACAGGTGATTCAGCTAATATTGGTGTCAAAGAGTTGGTCAAATACAGATAGGACACATTATCAAAGGCCAATTTAGTGTCGCTAGGAGGCAGTAATCAGCACGTGCGTGGTCTGTAGCCAGGACTTGATACACCTGTGGCTGAAGCTAACACACTCTCTGATATCTCCAGAAACGTTGACAAAATCCAAGAAGCCCCCGTGATAAATCGTCCAATCAAGATGTCTACTCTTATGTAACTACCAGGATCCCGCCATTCCCTCTGAAATCACAGGGGCCTCTAGAAAAGTTTACAAAATTGAAAAAGATATAATAATTATGTAATTGTAAGAGGCTACTAGCGGCCCCTGTGGGCTGAGTGTAAAGTTAGTACAGTGCAGCGCCCCCCCCCCCCTGGGGTTTACTGTGGGAGTTGATCTCCAATAATATGTAATCTTCATGGTGATTACAGCGTAGATGTAGCAT